TGTGGACTGAGTGGGGCTGGAGCGCTGAGGCTTGAAAGACAGGTTTTACAATCAGCCAGTTAAACAGCTTACCAACTGCTGTTCCCCTTGTCAGGGAGATGAGCTGAGGAGCTTCTTTTCTTTAGGGCCAACATCAAAATGAGTCCATCTGAGCTGGGGCTTTTTGCAAAGGTGGGCGATTAAAAATCAAGGCTGGAGTTCCAGCTAAATAGGGAGGAGAGGTACCACAAGTGCATCTTAAATTTGCTTCCGGGATGGGCAGTTAAAACACGAAGATTCCAAGGGGATCTTGCGAGGCAAATATCAGCAGGTAACTGTGGAAGAAAGGAAATCTCAGGACCTAATGAGTTCATTGTAAAATATTCCTGGGAGCAGATGGGGGGTGTTTTTTTCACTTTTTATAGAATATTGTTGCTTTCCTACAACAGTGTACATATATTTGCAGTTGTATATGCTTTTTTTTTTCCAAATAAAGTTTGCATGCCCTTGGCAAATAAGTGAAGCAGAAATAGGAACCTGGTCCACATTCAAGTTGAGGAATGGTGTGTCTTTAAGAGGTGACCTTTGGAGTGACCTGGAAAGGGGGAATATGGCTAAGCATGAAAAGAAATGAGGAAAGAGACAAGCTAGTGATAGAACACCTCTTAATCCCCGCCCTCAATAGCACACTACCCACGTATCAGCTTTCTGAAGAGAAGGGACCTACTCTTCTGTACTCCTCACTTTGCAATGTTTGTGCTTACACCGGGATGTCTCAGGTTTTTTTTCATTATCATCCCCCAAAGGAGAAAAAAATTACATTGAATTTAAATTTTCCCTAATAAGAAAAATTAAATATGAAAGAATAGGATTTTGTTGGGTAAGACTGAGCTTTGGAGGGTCACGAACCACTGTAATATCTAAGGTTTGGTTTTGTTTTGGTTTTTGTTTTTTTTGCAATCCCCCTCCCCCGAATCAATCTCACATTGGGAATGCGGGACCTAGACTGTTGAATAAAAAGCTACTTCTTCCGTAATTGTCAGGTTCGCTCCAATTTTTCAGCAGCTTCCCTAAAGACATGGGGTGGAGCTGGGTGTGCCGTCACTGAGAGAGTTCTGGAAACTTTGACTCTCAGTGACATTTTTAGATTTAGGGGTTCGTGACCTTCCACATCTCGCCATCAACTTGTGATCTCTGTCCCTTCATGCTGATCAAGAAAGTAGAAACTCCTCATCGCCTTCAGGTTTGCAGTCCCAGAAACATTGCCTGCTGTGGACTGTCAGCACAAAACTGGGACAGTGGTCCCAGTTAGACTGTCAGCAGTGCACATACCTGCACGATCAACCCCAGGCAACCATGTGCATCTGTGCAAGACGACCCCTGCCCCAACAGAAGGGTTACGGACTTCTGAAATGTTTACCAAGATGGTGCCGGTGGGCTCTCCCCTTGTCCTTCGGTGTTATTGGAGCTGGTGTATGACACAGTCAAGGAAATTTTTTAAGGAAAATGAAAAAGAAATCAACCTTTGTGGTTCTCTTTCATTGGAAGGGGAGAATAAGGAAGAAAATGGCAAGTAGAGAGGGAGAGGGAAAGGAATGGAAGTGGCATGTCTTTAATGTTGTGGCTTGTGTGGGGATGATGGGAACAGCACAGCAGGCACAGTGTATGTGTTAGTGCCACGTGGTATCTGTTAAGTATGGCCAGAGCCTCACATATAAGTAAGTAGAGTTAAGACAATTCTTGCTCTTTGAACAATAATATTAGCAAACCATCCCAGACAACCTGACCTATCAAACAAAAGCAAATAATGCCTGTCTCAGAACTGCTGGTCTAAAAGCCAGAAGGGGCACAACAATGGAAATTGCTGGAAGAGAGAGAATGCTCTACTCTCTTTCCTGTGCCTACCTACCCGCATCCTAAACCCTGTAAAACAGAATTTCAAAATAGATGTCAAATATGAAGTAATTCAGACTTCCAAATAAGGAAAGAGTTCGCCCAGGGCAGTATGAGCAAATCCACAGGGACGTTAAGATTTGGTCCAACTCAAAGGTTTATGGGCAGGGAGCCTAGAGTCTCTTGAGAGTAAGGCCCTGCGTTTGGGAGAAGGAGAATATGTGAAGCTCAAGAGTGCTCACAGTAGAGAGCAAGACCCAGAAAAAAATCCAATGGCATTTTAAACTAGATTGCATGATTACTCAATGCTGTTACTTTGAACAGACAAATCAATTGGATGGGAGGGCCAATGGCAGATGAACAAAAGCCGTTAGGTGAAAGCTATCCCCAATGTATCAGTTGTGAGGTGATTTTTGTGTAATGATGATCAGGTTTACATTCAAGTGGCTTGAAGGACTTATTTCAGAGGAACTGAGTTTGCACTACAAAACTCTGAACACTAGAGCAGGTTCTACTAGCGCTTGGGAAGTAAGGTAATAGGTGTGTATTCTGCTATTGCCACGGTTCTCATCTTTGTGGATTCACATACCCTTTCCCATGAGGAGCTTGCTACTAACAGGCTCCTTGTATCTGTTGTTTTTATATGGGAGAAGAGAAAGAGCTTGGAATTTCAATTGTCTAAACAAGTGGTATGATTTACAAGGCGGCAAACCATTCAAGAGATGTTCAACTGTATATCATTCTTAGCATTCAATACAATGTTTATTATAAAATACACACCTGAGTTTATGTTTTTCTACCAGGCTATAAGTGCAATAATGTCTTGCTATGCAAACACTCCATTTTATGTGTGAATTTTTTTAACTGTAATTTTACGTGTGCATTTTTTTTAACTAAACTCTATCATCATTTTCTATGTTGACATCTTTTTTTTTTAATCTGTTTCCAACTCTCTGAGTCTGTGAACCATCTCTTCTGACTGGATGCTGGCCTAAAATCCTATTAGTGCTTAAACAGACCTCAAAACACTCTGAACCTCTAGGCCAATACAGAGATGTTGCTCTTTGATATATCTTGGGTCCTTGATGGTTTCAACAAACAAGGTCATAATTCCTTTAAATTCAGTGTTTTCTGTAGATACTTTCTTCTCAGTTTCATTAAGGAGAGTAACCCTGTTTGGTTTTCCAAAGAATGGAAACTCCTACCCCAGACTTTAGACTTAGAGCTTCTGCCTTTCAAGATGACAAAGAGGTCCAGAATGTTTAGGGGACATGCCTCAGCCCACCTAGTACTCAGTGGCAGAGCTGAATGCCAACTTCAGGTACCCCCAGCCCTCCACCCCAAGCACATTTTGGTACAGCTGGAGACACATGACATTGGATGTGATTTTTCTCAAGACCTTCACTGTGGAAGGCATGGGAGACTACCCAGTGTTGGCCATCTGGCCATTAACATTTCCATTTCAAGGCCCTGATTCTTACTGGAGAAGTTAAGGAGCTGCTTAATGTTTTTACAGAACTCAGATTCTGTTGTGAATGTGGCATTCCAATGAGTACAACCTTCCTGCTATAAAGAAAGCAGCACATTTTGACAAATTTATTTTTTCCTTGGGTACTTAACATTTTTATTACAAAAACGGCCCTTATAAAAAAGACAGAAGGGCTGGGCAGTGGCTTGCTTCCTAGAAACTGAGATTCCGAAGCAGGTGTTTCCTCTCCCGAGACTCAGAGGTACATTTAATCCATCTTCTCCATTTCCTCCTTCAGGACCAGCTATGAGATTCAGTGCGTTTCTATCCCAGCAAATGTTCGTTCTCCACTAAACCTCATCTTTTACTAACCAAAGGGGGATTATTCCATGAGGCAGCCAGGAGCAAGGGGCTGTGATATTCATGACTTTGTCTGCTGGGCATTTTTCAAAGTGTCCTTGAATTCACTCAGCAAACAAAGCTTCCTGGAGAATCTCTCAAAACTTAGGCCCTGCTCCATTTGGCCAAAAATGATGGCTGCTCCAAAACTCTGAACTTCTTGAAACTCCATCTGCTACAACATTAATTCTGGAGTTTAAACATGACTTTTTCTGTCTTTGAGTATAGATGTGTTTATTTAATTAACGATGCACAAGTCTGTTAAGCAGAAGGCTCCAAGCTGTGTTCTATACTTGGGAACCCTTGGTGCCATCTTTATTCTACCAAGTGCCAATCACCCTGGCTAAAGTGGGTGTATATTACAGCCTATGTCCTAAGCTTAGAAACTTTAATGTACTTTTTTAAATGAAAAATATTAGAGGGGGTTGAACATTGTAACTAAAGCATAAAGTTAGACCAATTACATGTAAAGATGTTTATTTAATATTGTGTGAGCTGAGTCCTTCTGTATAAATTATTTGCACATTTTTCTTGCATGTGAACTGATTTTTTATAGTTGTTTGTACCAGACGGTGGCATATTTTTGTAAAAAACTTTTGACACTGAATTGCAATAAATGTTTTTCCAACAATACACACCGGTGCATTTTTAGTGTGTCTCAATTCAAGTTGGCTTTTTATCATACCAAATATGTTTATCTTTTGCCTATTGAGACTTATATTCCTTCCCCAGAAACTTGTTACCATTTTTGTAAAATTTCTAGGAATCCATAGAAAAATCAGCTTGTTGCTGAATACCAATCTGAGTCTATAATACAGCATTACGCTTAAATCGAATATTTTCATATACTGTTTGCACAGTAGAATATTTAGGGAATAATGAATTTTGAAGTCAACATCAATTTATTCATCAACAGGCATTCATGGAACAGCTATTATATGCTAGACCTGTGCAAGGCACTGGGAATAGAGTGATGAATAAGACAGAAAGTGTCCTTGCCTTTTATGTGGGTGGGGTTTGTTTTTGGTTTTTTTGTTTTTGTTTTTTTGGTTTTTTTTTTGTTTTGATGAAAAAGATGGGATTCATCCTTGCCTTAATGAAATTTAGATTCTAGTAAGAAAGGCAGCCCAGGTGCAGTGGATCACACCTGTAATTCCAGCACTTTGGAAGGCCAAGGTGGGTAGCTCACTTGAGGTCAAAAGCTCGAGACCAGCCTGATCAATATGGTAAAACCCCATCTCTACTAAAAATACAAAAATTATCTGGGCATGGTGGCACATGCCTGTAGTCCCAGCTAATCGGGAAGCTGAGACAGGAGTATCTCTTGAACCTGGGAGGCAAAGGTTGCAATGAGCTGAGATAGTGCCATACACTCCAGCCTGGGTAACAAAGCCAGACTCTGTCTCAAAAAAAAAAAGACAGAAAAGAAAGAAAAGGAAGGGAAGAGGAGGGGAGGGGAGGGGAAGGGAGGGAAGGAGGGAAGGGAAGAAGGAGGGAGGGAAGGGAAGGGAAGGGAAATCAAGTACAAATTATTTGTAATAACCAATATGAAGGGAATAGACAAAGGGTTGCGATATAGAATAACAACTGGGACCCACTTAAGACAGTGAGGACGGAAGCAGCAGGGGCCTCTCTGATGAAGTGATATTGAAAGAGCCAGCCCCAAAGGAATGAGGGCAAGAGCATTCCAGAAAGAGAACCAGCTATACAAGGTTCAAATCATGGTCCTGCAACTTACCTGCAGAGTGGCCTTTGTCACCTCACTTCACCCCTCTGTGTCTCAATTTCCTTGACTCTAAGAACACCTAACTCATATGGCTCAGGCCGTTAAGTGAACTAACACATATGAAGTGCTTGGAGGCAGGCACAAGCTACGAGCTGAGTCAATGTTAATGATTATTGCTATTCCCTGAGCAACAAGAGTCTAAGAATCAGTTTCAGAATTGCACTGTTTCCAGGTGGGTATGATTTATTCAGGTGACTGAGGTGCAGGAGACTGGCTTACTTGATACTTTCACTCTGGGACACCCTCTGATCTGGCCAGTAACTGTCAATCAGAAAATGGCAAAAGGTGCATGAGAGTAATTAGAGACCATTTTGTTAAACCTCCACCAGGATCACAAAATCTCACCATTCCCTAAATATGACAAGCCTTCTTTGCTCAGGTAGTGTGCCTACTTAGAATGTTCTTCCCCTACCATCTATCATCTGTCTGATTAGCACCTTTAAGCCACTGCCTCACTAAAGCCTCTCCCAGCTGAGTAAATCTTATTTCCCATCACACTTCTTTGCCTAGGGACTTTATTACATCATATGGGCAATTGCATAGTACCTAGCACAGTGCCAGGGCTGAATGAATTAATAAAACCATGTACACCAGGGGTCCCCAGTCCCAAGGCTATGGACCAGTATTGGCCTGTGGCCTGTTAGGAAGGAGATGAGCAGCAGGCAAGTGAGGGTCACCACCTGAGCTCCACCTCCTGTCAGATCAGTGGTGGCATTAGAGTCTCAAAGGAGTGCGAACCCTGTTGTGAACTGTGCATGCAAGGCACCTAGGTTGCGTGCTCCTTATGAAAATCTAATGCCTGATGATCTGACGTAGAACAGTTTCATTACAGAACCATTCCCCCCCCACCCCCTGCATCCCCCTGGTCCACAGAAACCAGTCCTTTGTGCCAAAAAGGTTGGGTGAGATATACATTAAAAAATACTTTTGAAAGTCTTAGGACCACATACCTATCCTTAACTAGACAAAAATTGGCATGAGTTTATGTGCATAGATAGAATTACTTACAGCTTGTTGGTTTAAAATTAATGTTCGTTGATAAAGTAACAAATACAGAGACCTAGTTTTCATTAAAGTTTCCTTTAAATTCATCTAACAAATCTTGATGTTTAATTTACAAGTCTCGTAAATTTTAAGACAAAATAATAGGAACTTTTATTACTCTTAATAAACTCAAATTTAACAGACTACAGTCCCTCTAAAAAGTAATTCTCTTTTACAAACTTAATAAAAAAAATTCCTTTAAACATTTTAAAGCTGCAATTATAAATCTGATACATTTGATTTTTAAGCACTTCAATTATAAATTGAAAGCATTTGCTTTGTAAAAAAGCACTGCAAATACCTGCTCAGATAAGCTTACAGCCTTAATAACCAAAAGATTCTCAAATAAATAAGTTACAAGTTTAACAAATAAAGCATAAATATATTTTGTCTCAAAATCTCTAGAAAACTCTAATATTGTTAAACAAGTAAAATTATCACACATTTCCATTTAAAGTTATACCTTACACTAATTACTTATTTTAAATGGAAATCATAAGACCACCATGGCAGGTAAAATAATGGCTCCCTAAGGATCTCCACATCCTAATTCCTGTAACCTATGAATATGCTGCTACATGGGAAAGGGAAAATTGCAAATGTGATTAAATTCAGCACCTTTAGATACAGGGGTTATCCTGGGTGGGCCCAGTGTAACCATCTGGGTGGGCCCAGCGTAACTTTATTTATTTATATATTTTTTTGAGATGGAGTCACTGTCTGTCACCAGGCTGGAGTGCAGTGGCACGATCCCATCTCACTGCAACTGCCAACTCCCTGGTTCAGGCAATTCTCCTGCCTCAGCCTCCTGAGTAGCTGGGATTACAGGCACATGCCACCATGCCAAGCTAATTTTTATATTTTTAGTAGAGACTGGGTTTCACCATGTTGGCCAGGATGGTCTCGATCTCCTGACCTAGTGATCTGCCCACCTCAGTTTCCCAAAGTGCTGGGGCTACAGGTGTGAGCCACCGTGCCCTGCCTTTTTCTGAAACGGACTTTTAGTCTTGTCACCCAGGCTGGAGTGCAATGGCACAATCTCGGCTCATGCAACCTCCCAGGTTCAAGCAGTTCCCAGGTTCAAGCAGTTCCCCTGCCTCAGCCTCCCAAGTATCTTGGCTTACAAGTGCCTGCCACCATACCTAGCTAATTTTTGTATTTTTAGTAGAGACAGGGGTTTCATCATGTTGGCCAAACTGGTCTTGAACTGACCTCAGGTGATCTGCCCACCTCGGCTTCCCAAAGTGCTAGGATCCCAGGCATGAGCCAGCGCGCCCAGCCCCAATGTAACATTTACCGACGGGTCTTTAAAAGGAGAAGAGAAATGCAGCAGAGGTCAGACTGATGCAACGCAAGGACTCCACCGGCCCTTCCTGGCTTTGAAGGTGGAGGACGGGGCCACCAGCCAAGGTATGAGAGCAGCGCCTATCATCAGGGAAAAGCAAGGAAAGAGATTCTCCCTAGAGCGCCCAGAAGGGAACACAGTCCTGCCAATATCTTGATGTCAGCCTACCAAAACTTATGTCAGATCTGACCTGCTGAACTATAAAAATAACGAATGCGGCCAGGCGCGGTGGCTCACACCTGTAATCCCAGCACTTTGGGAGGCCGAGGTGGGTGGATCACGAGGTCAAGAGATCGAGACCATCCTGGTCAACACGGTGAAACCCCGTCTCTACTAAAACTACAAAAAATTAGCTGGGCATGGTGGTGCGTGCCTGTAATCCCAGCTACTCAGGAGGCTGAGGCAGGAGAATTGCCTGAACCCAGGAGACGGAGGTTGCGGTGAGCCGAGATCGCGCCATTGCACTCCAGCCTGGGTAACAAGAGCGAAACTCCGTCTCAAAATAAATAAATAAATAAATAATTTTAAAAAAATAACGAATGTATGCTGTTTTAAGCCACTGAAAGTGCAATTTGCTGCAGTAGTAACAGGAAACCAATGCAGCTTCTCGAGCATGTCTGGCAGCCCACCCCTACAAAAGCTCTTCCCCGGCAGTTCCATCCCCACCCCAGACAAACTCCCACCGTCCCTCACGCTACAGAGTCCTCAGTCCAAGCTGAGCAAGGATTTGCCTGAAAATAAAAGGCACAACCATCTTCACAGCCTAGTTCATCAGCAAGACTTATTTTGACCGCCAGATACGTGAACGTGCAAAAGCTAGAGAGGCAGTGTCAGCCTCTGTCCGTGGTAGGCATAAAGTTTTCTCCTTCCTTGTTTACATAGGCTTAAATTGAGGCTGACCAGCCAATCGCGTTTCTGCCTAAGAAACATCACAGAGAATCAGTGTTGCAAATTGTCTCCAATGGGCAATGTTTATGAAGCAGCAATGTCGTCGGCGCAGGAGCAGCCATGCAGAAGTGTGAGCTTAGGACTTGCCCTCAGCAAATTTACCCCCCTGGTGGAGGAGTGGGAGGGACTAGAAAATGTGTATAGATTACAATACAGGAGCCAAAGTGTTAAGTGCCCAGAGTCAGGTACAGCGTACTAGAGGAGTTCAGGTCGGAAGAAGAACTGAGTTCATGTTTTTGAGGAGGACAATGTAGGATGAAACATGAGCTCCTTCGTTGAAAGCCAGAAATGGGACTAGAAATCAAGGGCCTTAGACTTACCAACTAAAGTCCAATTCTGTGCATTGATAGATTTCTTGGGAAGGAAAAAAAAAGTACTCTAAAGTTTGGACAGAGTTCCCTTTTAGAGAAAACTAAAGCTGTGTCCCCTGGGGTCTTAGTACCAGAGCCTTCCCAGTGTTCTAGAAAACTAACAGAAGCCAAATGAGCCCCAACTCCCTTCAAGTGGTTCTGCGATGGTTAATTTTATGTGTCAACTTGGCTAGTCCATGGTACCCAGTTGTTTGGTCAAACATTAGTCTAGTTGTTGCTATGTAGGTATTTTTTAGGTGTGATTAACATTTAAATTAGTAGACAGTGGGTAAGGGCTTCAATAACGTGGGTACGCCTCATCCAATCAGCTGAAGGCCTTGAGAGGAAAAGAGTGACATCTCGCAAAGAAAGAATTCTGCCTCTAGACTCAAGATGGCAACATCACCTCTTCCCTGGGTCTCCAGCCTGCCAGCCTGCCCTGGAGATTTTGGACCTGCCAGTCTCACAATTGCATAAGCCAATTTCTTTTTTCTTTTTTTTTTTTTCTTTTTTTTTTTTTTTGCCAATTTCTTAAAATAAATCTACATACATACTGCATTAGTCTGTTTTCACGCTGCTGAGAAAAATATACCCAAGACTGGGAAGAAAACAAGGTTTAATTGGACTTATAGTCCCACATGGCTGGGGAGGACTCAGAATCTCCGCGGGAGGTGAAAGGCACTTCTTACATCACGGGCAGCAACAGAAAAATGAGGAAGAAGCCAAAGCGGAAACCCCTGATAAAACCGTCAGATCTCGTGAGACTTATTCACTATCACGAGAATAGCACGGGAAAGACCAGCTCCGTGATTCAATTACCTCCCCCTGGGTCCCTCCCACAACACATGGGAATTCTAGGAGATACAATTCAAGTTGAGATTTGAGTGAGGACACAGCCAAACCATATCACATACATACATAGATGATAGAGATAAAGAGAGATAAAAGTATAGAGAGAGATCAAAAAAACATTTTTTTTATTGAGACAGGGTCTTACTCTGTTGCCCAGGCTGGAGTGCAGTAGTGCAATCATAGCTCACTGTAACTTTGAACTCCTGAGTTCAAGTGATCTTCCTGCCTCAGCCTCCTGCATATCTGGGGAGTACAGGCACACACCACACACTGGGCTAGTCTTTTTTTTTTTTTTTTTTTTTTTGGAGAGATGGGGTCTCGCTTTGTTACCCAGGCTGATCTCAAACCACCAGACTCAAGTAATCCTCCTACCTTGGCCTCCCAAAGTGCTAGGATTACAGGCATCAGCCATTGTGCCTAGCCAAATATAGGTCAATTTTAAAGAATAAAATATTTCACTTTACGTAATAAAGTAGTTAAAAAAGAATAAAATATATCAGCCAGCGCAGTGGCTCACACCTGTAATCCCAGCACTTTGAAAGACCAAGGTGGGCAGATCACTTGAGGCCAGGAGTTCGAGACCAACCTGGCCAACACAGTGAAACCTGTCTCTGCAAAAAAATACAAAAATTAGTCCGTCATTGTAACATGCACCTGAAATCCCAGCTACTCAGGAGGCTGAGGCACAAGAATCGCTTGCACCTGGGAGGCAGAGGTTGCAGTAAGGCAAGATCGCGCCACTGCACCCCAGCCTGGGCGAAGGAGAAAGACTGTCTCAAAAAAGAAAAAACTACCTATATAAACATATATGGAGATGATAGATGAGAGAGAGAGAGACAAAGACAGAGAGACAGAGATCCTAGAGAGAAAGAGAGATTTGGAGACAGAGAGATCATATATATAGACACATTCATAGAGAGAGAGACATGCACCTCCTACTGTTTCTGTTTCTCCAAAAACTAATTCAAGCTTCTAGAAAGAGAACAAGGGCAAGAAAAGTCTAGAGGAAGGTTTCAGAGGGCAGGGGGAAAGGGAGAAAAATCAGAGACAGAACAGAATCCAGTGGCTGCAAGGGCAGTCAGCCAGCCACCACATCCTGAGAAATCACGCTTGGCAGATGCCAAAGAGTACAACAAAACAGTCACTCCTGACCCACATAAACGTGCCTGTGTGGCTCCCTCTTGTTTGTACTTTTAAAATGTGTATTCAAGTGTTCTCATTATATTTTACAATTTAATCCTTTCTTAATTTTGAAAATATCCTGAGGAGCCACTGCTTCCTTCAGAGAGGCAGCATAGCACAGTGGTGAAGGGCAAAGCATCTGAAGCCAGCCCACTACTTCCTAGC